GGCCATCGATTTTGCTAAGCTTAAACAGGACTGCGTGCCTTGCGGCACCGACGGTGATTCCTCGGACAAGGATGATCAGGACGTACGTACGCATCCGATCATCAGGGAGGAGCGTTGCCGTGCACCGACGGTGGGTTGGATTCGTTCAGCCGTACCGTACGTCACGTGGGGCCAAACCGAACGAGGGAATGCGACCTGAGCTTGGCAGTGCAACGCCACGTGGACCCGTTCGAATTCACGCGATCCCAGGAACCGACACGTACGGCGGCGTGGCCGTGCCTGGGCCGAGCGACAGGGGCGCGTGCCCCGGCCGGCTCCGTGGGCGAGCGGCGACCCAGATCGCAATCGCATCCCGCCGGTCCGGGTCCGGGCACCTCCCAGCTCTACCACCCGGTGAAGCTCACCGCGCGAATCGAACGTGTCGTGCGTGCCACACTGCCACTGTCAGCAGTCGATAGATTTGACTCCAGCTACGCGACATCCGCAACTGTTTATTTCAATGGTTCGGATCTCGATCGGTACATTATTATTGCTTCAAAAATCAATCAATCAATTATATATATCAATATAATAGTAGTGGAGACCTGCGAGGCTACATCTGCAACCATACATATAGCATGTTCGCTTGTTGATTTTAGCCAGCTCAAACCAGTCAGTCAACAGTATTTTTCTCTAAAAAAATAGCACCAACTAGCCCAAACCAGCACCAGCACCAACCAGCGAACAGGCCCATAATATATACGTACTCTTCCCGTCCAGTAAAGGATAGCACAAGATTAGTACAAGTCAAACCTATGTTAAGTTTGATACAATAAATATTTTTAATATTTATATCTTCAACTAGAGTTTCTACGAAAATAAATTTTATAATTAATTTGATTATACTTATCTTATATCGTAAGGGTAACATTTCTTTCTATAATTTTAGTCAAACTGCAAATTATTTGACTTCTTGTAAAATGAGATCTGGTTTGCGTCCTATGTTTTGCATTGCATTGTAATGTAGGAGTAATATATAATCTTCACTTCAGGTAGGTCATCAGTTTTAGAATGGCACGCCCTCTGACATTGAGGCTTTGTTGCTGCTAATATTGCCGTTATGTGGAGATTCATTTATAGGAGAGACTAGCGCTCGGACATCCGGACGTGGCGAGCGTCTGGCCGCCCGTTTTGAATAATGATACCCTCAGGGCGTTTATGGATGCAGCTTCGTGCTCCGAGCCTGCTGCCACGCCCCTGGATACAGCTTTGTGCTCCACGCCTGCTGTCGCGCCCGCTTCGCTTCCCACGCGTACGCAGTCCCGAGGGGACCCCCTTCGCTTGTGCCCCTTGCCGTGCCTGCTCATGAAACACTTCCAACATAAAGCATTTGCTGCAACATACGTCTAAGACAGATGAAACATTTACAACATACTCCTACATTTGCAACATGTGTATGAGCACTGCAAAATTCAGATAAAATACTTACAACATATATTTGAAACAGTTGAAATATTTGAAACATACACTTTGCAACATACGTGTATAGCCAGTGCAACATATGCAACATCCAAATAAAAATACTTGCAACATACGTTTAAAACAGCTAAAACATTTGAAACATACACTTGCAATATATGTGTATAGTCATTGCAACATATGCAGCACCAGATCTACTTTTGCAACATTCAGATGAAACATACGCAATATACATCTAAAACATATGAAACATACTGTTGCAACAAGTGCTCATCTACTTGCATCCCCCCAATGGACGCTCGTTGATGCGGAGCTTGATGCCGGCACGGAGCTCGATGCCATGGCGTGGAGATCAGACCTCGGTTGTGCGCAACGCGAGTCCGAACGAGAAGCGCGATAGAGCGCAGCGCGAGGCATAAGCGGCGAGCGACGCAAGGCGAGAGCAGCGCGCGGCGTGAGGCACGGGTGAGGTGTATTACTAACCTTGGAAAACTGAGAAGATAGATAATCACTCCATTAGTGGAGAGGTATATATAGGCACACATGTGGGCCAGTAGTAGAGGGGCCTTCACTTAGCACCCCCTTCAAACTCAAGGTGGAAGTGGAGGATATGAAGCATTGAGTTTGAGCAAGTGAAACCGATGTTGCTCTCTAGTTTGCGCTTTGGTGAAGAAGTCAGCCAATTGCAGCTCGGATGGCACATACTGAAGAGCAATTGTATGTTGATTACAGTGAGACCGAGTAAAGAAAGCATCGACACCAATATGCTTGGTAAGTTCATGCTTCATAGGATCATTGGCAATCTGTATAGCTCCTGTATTATCGCATAGAAGAGGTGTGGCAGCATCACAAGAAATCCCAAAATCAGCTAACAACCATCGAAGCCATACGATTTCTGAAGTAGTGGTGGCAAGTGCTCGAAGTTCTGCCTCTGTACTAGAACGAGATACATCGGCTTGTTTCTTTGACTTCCATGCAATAGGAGAGAACCCAAGAAGAATATAGTACCCTGTGATGGAATGACGATCTGTTGGGTCACTCGCCCAAGTGGAGTTCAAGTAAGCATAAAGCTGAAGTGGACTATCACGAGCACAGAATAAGCTGTGAGATGATGTCCCCCTCAAGTACCGCAAGACGCGAAGTAAATGGCCAAAATGAACAGACGTAGGCGCACTCACAAACTAACTTCAAAATATGGCCGGCATGAGCAATATCAGATCGAGTAACAGTGAGATAAACAAGGCTGCCCACAATATGCTGATATCTAGACGGATCCTCAAGAGGAGTACCATCGATGGAAATGAAGTCGCAAGTGAAGATCCATAGGTGTCGCATTGTCCGATGGTCAGTGATGCCTAAACGAGCAATAAGGTCTTGTATGTACTTGGACTGAGAAAGATAGCAGCCCTTTTGCAGACTGTTTAACCTCAATGCCTAAGAAATAGTTGAGTGGACCTAAGTCAGACATTTGAAATTGTGCACCAAGCTGCTGCTTGACATAAGAAATGTGGTCTGCACTATCACCCATAATCAATATGTCATCAACATATAGAAGAAGCAAAGTACGTCCATGTGAGGAGAGGTGGATAAAAAAAGCAGGGTCATGATCACTAGGTGAAAAACCAGTAGCTCGAATGACAGAGACAAAGCGCTCAAACCAAGCACGAGGAGCCTGTTTAAGACCATATAAAGCCCGACGAAGACGACAAACATAACCTGGAGGGGCATTAACACCTGGGGGTGGTTGCATATAAACTTCTTCATTTAAATCACCATGAAGAAAGGCATTCTTAACATCCATCTGAGAGATTTTCCAAGAAGTAGCCACTACAATTAAAGTACGAACAATAGTCATATGAGCAATAGGTGCAAATGTCTCATCATAATCTCTGCCCTAAGTTTGCTGAAAACCTCTGGCAACTAGAGAGCCTTATATCTCTCAATAGAACCATCTGACTTGGTTTTTATTTTGAAAACCCACTTGGATGTAATAGGCACAGCATGCGATGGTAATGGAACAAGATCCCAAGTGCCTGTACGATCAAGTGCAGCAAGTTCCTCACACATAGCAAGTTGCCATTCTGGAATGCTAGAGGCCTCTCGATAAGTGGTTGGCTCTTCCACAACAGCATTGACATGAGGAAAACCATACTTGCCAGCATGCCCAATAGTAGCATGATCTTGTAGATTATATCTCGGACCACCCTGTGACTCATCAGAAAAAGCACATGACTCATCAAGATTAATGTAAGTATCAACATCGGGAGGATCAGATGGCGAGGAAGTGGGTGTGGGGACCCGGGGACGACGAGTGTAGTATTTCAGGACAGGTGGTTGACAAGATGGAGGTTCAGGAAGATCTAATGGTGGAGGATCGACACTGGAAGGTGGAGGGTCGACATGAGTAGGTGGAGTAGTTTCAACAGTATCAGGAGGAGACACAAGAGTGTTGGGTGGGCTGGAAGACACGGGTGGTGTAGGAGTGGCAACATCACTGAGTATAGGTGGAAGACACGTAAAGGTTGTTGACTCAGTACAACGATGGGATGGCTGAGTAGAAGGATTATAAAAGAAAGGACGATCTTCAACGAAAGTGACATCACGAGATATACGAATACGATGAGAAGAGGGGTCATAACAACGATAACCCTTATGCTTAGGACTATACCCCAGAAAAACACACTCAACTGACTGAGCAGTCAGCTTAGTACGCTCACGAGGTGCAAGTAAAACATAACATGTGCAGCCAAAAATGCGAAGGTGGTCATAGTTAGGAGGAGTACCAAAAGAAATCTCACCAGGACACTGACCAGACAGTTTTGATGATGGTCATTGGTTGATGAGATAAACAGAAGTGAAAACAGCTTCTCCCCAGAAATGAGAAGGAACAAAAGATGCAATAAGAAGTGTGCGGGCAGTCTCTATGATATGGAGGTGTTTCCGTTCAGCAAACCCATTTTGAGCATGGGCACCAGAACAAGTGAGCTGAGCAAGAGTTCCCTCAGAGGTCAAAAACTGGCGAAAGGTGTGAGATAAATACTCTCCACCAGAATCAAAACGAAAAACTCAAATGGGGTTAGAAAATTGTGTGTGCACCATGCGAGCAAAATTTTGATAAATAGAGCACAATTGAGATCGATGTTTCATAAAATAAATCCAAGTATATCGAGAATGATCATCAACAAAAATAACAGTCTTTATGACCACCTTTGGTAGCAAAAGGTGCAGGACCCCATATATCAGAGTGAATAAGATCAAAAGGTCTAGCTGAATGCGAAGTACTAGTGGAATATGGGAGCTGCAGCTGTTTTCCAAGCTTGCAACCCTTACAATGAAAACTATACTCAATGGATGTAGGACCTAAACAACCCTTGTTTATTAAGGTGGACAAACGAGACCCGCATAAATGACCAAGACGATGATGCCACTTGGTGAAGGACGAAGTCGATGGAGATGCACTGGATGATGAAGCAGCGGAGGACACACGAGCAGTAGGGTGAGGAAGGCGCAAGGTGTCGAGAACATAGAGGCTAGGAGAACCTCTACGGCGATGGCCAGTCCCATGTACAATCCCGGTGCGACGATCCTGAATAAAACAAGATGAGTCATCAAATCCAACAAAACAGTAATTATCGGTTACTTGACCGACCGAAAGAAGATTCATGGACAACTGAGGTACAAATGAGACATTAGGTACAGGAAAAATTAGAGGTGCAAAGAGAACCCCCATGTGAGTGATGTGACAGGATGTACCATCTGCTGTCTGAATAGAGGCACCATCAGCAATTGGCTTGAAAGCAACAAGCTGAGACTGGTCAGATGTCACATGAAAAGAGGCTTCTGAATCAAGCACCCAAGATGACGACGGAGCGCTAACAGGTGAAGCGGCAGCAACAGACACAGAGCCTTTAGGAGTGGAACCTGCGCCACGACCACGAGCTGCACGATGTGCACGCTAATCAGCTAGCTTCTCTGGATACCGAGCAAAACAATATTCTGAACGATGAGTAGTCTTCTTGCAATGCTCACAAGGCTCAGAAGAGCTGCCCTTGACTGTGTTGGTCTTCTGAGAAGCCACCAGAACACTGAGGTACTGATACAGAGGGCGACAGAGAACTAAGACGGGTCTCTTCAGCAATCAACGCAGACAACACATCAGAGATTGATGGAGTAGTGGAAGCATTCAGCAGCTGCTTACGAATAGACTCAAAATCAGACCTCAAGCCATGACAAAACTGATATATGAGGAATTTCTCAATGAACTGAATGAACACCCATTCTCACACTTTGGAACCATGGAGAGAAAAGGTCCCATAACACGATCAAAAGCGGTGTAGTATTCTTCTATGGACATCTCATTCCGCTGAAGCTCATGAAGGCCTTGCATGAGAGTAAGGAGAAGAGCACCACTGTTCTGAACATATCGCCCCTTCAAATAGTCCCACATCTCCTTGGCAGACTCATGATTCTAAAGACTCATCATCAAGGAAGGCTTCATACTGGTGACAATGGCACTCATCACACGGCCATCAGCATCAGTCCAAGCCTTGACGGTAGCAGCACCAGAAGCATCCTTAGACTTATCAACTGGAGGATCACCAGTCAAATGAGATCCAAGGCCATGTCCCCGCAGAACAGTCTTGACAGAAAAAGCCTGTCACCGACCTAGATGCTAATACATCCACACACACGAAGAACAACTGGTTTCTGGAATATACTAGAAGGTTCTAGATACATGAATCAAAGGAAGAAGAGGAAGGGGATAGGAACTCTAGCCGCAGCTAGCCTTGAGCCGCAGCTGGTTTCTGACAAAGCCCACTCTCGATAGTTACTAGGACCCTCAAGTTTCAGAGGAAAAACAATCACATTGGGCTGCGACTGCGACATTGTGAGACAACAGGAGACCAGAGCAGAGGAAATCCTTCAGAACAGAGCACCAGACAATAAACAAGAGGACACTGCAGAACTCCAAGCAGCAGACAGAGCACGGTCAGAGCACACCACCGCAGCAGAACAGAGTACACAGCAGAAGATGCAGTACCGGAGCAAATCACGATGGAGAATCGAGCGGGCGGAGGAAGCCGCTCGGACGACGGCACGCGCGAAGATGGCGCGGGCGCAGGAGCGCGCGACGATAGGCACGGACGCGGGTGAACGTCCGCGACGGGCGGAGGTGTCCCCGACGGGAGAAGGGCCTCTTGACAAGGCGGCGTCTCCGTGCGACGATGGGCCGCGCGGAGGAGGGACGACGCGGCAACGGCCGCGGCAACCCGGCAATGGCCGAACGAACAGAGGATGAATCCCAAGGGGAAAAAAATGGATCTCGTGGGTGATTTAGATTAGTCTAAACCTAACCCTAATCCATAGCTTTGTTACCATGTTACTAGCTTTGAAAAACTGAGAAGATAGATAATCACTCCATTAGTGGAGATATATATATATAGGCACACATATGGGCCATATAGGCCAGTGTAGAGGGGTCTTCACTTAACAAGGAACAGGGGCAGGCGAGTCCGTCCCACCCAGCCGGATGGACGCTCGGTACACAGCATTACCGTTGATTTATAGGCCTTGGGCTGCTAGACAAGCGGTTCTATCAACATCAACACATAAGATGTTTTGTTTGACAAATGAACTAGTACATCTTTTCAATTTTCACTATTTTATTTGATTTATGGAATGAATTCATTCATTACCATCTCATTTTTCACAAGCTAAGCTAAGCTAATATTAGTATTAATATAAGAAACTAAGTCATTCTACCAAATTTAACAAATAGACTCATGATGCATCACCACATCTTGAATGAAGTTATTTCTCAAATCAGCATCACCCTTTTAGTCCCCACAATAAACATTGGATTCAACTGCAGATTTCAATTTCCATACACCACATCGTCCGCATCTATCAGAATAAGCTAGTGATACGTCCACCATATATAGAAAATAAATGGTAGCATTGTGAAAGACTGTACATCACAGTACATACAACAGTTAATATTCATTCATGCCGCAGTAAGGAGGAGAAAAGATGCAACAACAATGGATTTACATTAAATTGTGGGTGACACACACCCAAATTGGCCACGGCAGGCAGAAGCCCAGGCTTAACCTTTGTGAGTCAGTATGATGCACGACGGGGCATCATCAACAACAAAACGAACCTGAGAAGTATGGTCAGTAGTCGTGAGCAACTACTGGAGTTGTGTTGTTAGCCCCCCTATTGCTGTTGCTGTGGCACTGGCTCGTGCTGCGGGGTGGCAGGGGAGTCTGGAGCGATAGCAAACTGGAGAGCACGGCCCCTGGCCGACTGTAGGATGAAGGCCACCTCTGCTGCCGCCAGTGCAGCCTCCTCCTGCAGACAAAGGAAGAATAAGCACATGGAGAACTTAGAAGGCGTGCCATATCAGCAGCAACAAAAGTTTAGGACCAGTAGCTATAGAATGGTTTATCTAACTACCTATAGTTCAATGCTATGGTGATCTTCCTATGTGCCAAAGAAATATTTGTTTGCAATTGGTTCAAAAGGATGCGTATATAATTACAATGATGATTTGGAACCAGATTTTTTTCATGACCAAACACATGATCACTTCAAGATTGCATCAAATTAGGTACCTGTCTTTGTCGCCGGCGATGCAAAATACTGAATATCCATGCCATGATGTAGCACGGCAGCAGAAACCCAGCAGCTCGCAGCAGAAAAAGCTACAAAGGATTGAGTCAGCACAAAGCACTATCTGGACCGCTAACATCTAAGTAAAAATGAAAGACTACAACAGTTACCGAGAACATGGTAGAAGCATCATCATCATTTCCTTCGTTGTCTGAGATAGACAATGCATGCCTTAGAAGCAACAGCGCCATTAACTGCAAAACCAAGCAGGATTTTAAGGTAGTCTACCTTGATATACTCAACATCTGTTGCTTGACATTCGGTAGATACTCGAGGAGAGCTAAAGTGATCAGACTAGGAGCAGACAGCAGAGCAGAAGAGGATTTGCTGTGAAAATCAACAACACTTCTGTATTCTCTAAGCAATTAACCAACTAAAAGCACTGTTTTTCCATCCACAAACAAGTTGTGACTTATGAGACAAATGTAAAATATATAAAAGCATTGTCCTTCAATCCAAAAACAAAACTGTCCTGAAATAGCTACTCCCTCCGTTCCAAATTGCAAGTGGTTTTAGCCATTTTAGATACACAATTTTTACCAAGCATCTAGACATAAGGTATATCTAGATGCATAGCAAGAGCTATGTACTGAGAAAAGCTAAAACTACTTATAATTTGGGATGGAAGGAGTAATATTCAGACATCGGTTCAGCTAATAAAGGGCAATAAGATCAGGAATTGCTGGACAGTGCTTACAATAAGTGCAGCTGAACGGCAGAATGCAGCACCACTAGCATCTGTAGTAGCATAACCATCATACTCTGCCTCAAGAAGACGACGTTGGGCAGCTGCTACAGCGAGAATTCTTGGGTCACGCAAATCCATAATCAAATCACCGCTGCAAAGTGATGCACCTTTTGCTTAGATATGTTCTAATTCTATTCACTCAAATTAAAATGGCACAAAAATGTCCAAAATAACTTACTCGATGTCTATGGTTGTCTCATCTGGCTGAACACGAGGGGGCGCAGTGTAACCAGGCTTGTATTCCTACAGGTTATCATCAAGTCTGGAAGGAATCAGTATACAGGAAAGGAAACTTTAAAATGCACATAGGGAAGGGCCAAAGCATGTTCTACAAGTCTAATACTCTGGAAAATTTAGAATCTTCCATAACAGTAAGTACAAAAAAATCCTTGAATATTTTTATTATCTCAGAGGTTGTTAATGACAAAAGTGTGTGTTAGCAAGGGGGGGGGCACTAAAAAATAGCTGCAATCAATAATTGAACTTCAAGTGATTCATACTTGAATAAGAATACTGAACATACAAATCCGATTGACCAAAATTGGTGAACTAGATAAATACCATTTAAAACACACACAAACTTATCATATGATTAGTCAGTTTCTTAAAACACCATCCAAATTAAATCACTAGTCTAAACCAATAAAGTCTAATCACACATGGTACAAATCCTTCTAGTATAAACACAGGTAGATAAGCAAACGCACATGGTGTGACAGCATATGGTCATGGGTCTTGGACCATTTTAGTTCTAGTTTGTTGGAATATAAGAGAATTGCCCACCTCTTCCCATCAGCTTAAGCTTTTGGGTTGAACTGGTCGGTGCATGCAACTCAATATGATATCAGAGCCAGAGGTCTCGAGTTCGAATCCTGGTTAGCGCAATTAAATAAAATAATTGAACTGGTCGGTGCATGCAACTCAATATAGTTGTTTGCAGTGCATAATACTAGTGAGGTGATCATGAGAACAACCCTTTGAGTAGAAGAAACATGGGCAACAAGATTTCAGAGATACATATATCAACATATGTACTATGACAATTTTATATAGATCAGCACTAAAAAACTAGAACCAAAATGAAACATGTATCAGTGGAATGAACCTGAAAGAAACCTAACCGACCTCATGGCAAATTTCACAAGTAGTGTCTCCTTTCTCATTGCACCAGCGTTGCACGCAAGCTCTGTGAGCATACTGCACAAGAAAAGTAAAGCTATAAGTTTTTTATTGCATCAGAGTTTCATGCAAAAGAAAATATTTAACTATATCACTCAGCATGAATAGAAAGAAAAAAAACTTTTAGATCACAAAAAGGTATAAAATAAATCCCAAGATCTTTTTTTTTTCTAGGTAAAATTATAACAAAGAATACAAAGTTCTACATTGACAACATTAAAGGCTTTCTATATTTGTGGTAGAAGTTGAAAAATGTCCATGAATAAATCATTAATGAAAAAGCAGCAAATTGACTAAATATAAAGAACATGAAAAATTGCAGCAAGGTCAGTCCAGAAGTTGTTAATTACTATACTCTGTCCAAAGAGCAGTCCAGCTCACAAATTCATATTGATCATGACGATAAACTTAAACTGACAGACCATAAAATTCAGCAAGCTACTGCTACAAGACTGAACTGGAATCATTTTGTTGCAAATGTGCAGTGATAACATGCCTAGTAATTGCATAACATAGACCCACAGTATCTGAATCAGCTGGTTCATTCCTGTTAGCAATGTGGTAGAAATGTAGTGCAACTCTACTATACAGAAAACATGCTAAAGTGAATATATGCTTTGGTGTTCTCCCAACAGAGAGGACATAAACAGGCAATATTACAGATATGGTGCACTAGCGATTGGGGACAGATGATTTGGAGTAACCTTGTATATTCCCACAAGAGTGTCTGACATTATGAATGGCACCATATGATTGTTTTGTTCTTTTTAAGCAAGAAAACATGTCAATGGAAATGACAGACACGTTAATGCAAAATGAGAACTGAAAGCAAGAATTTAATTGTA